CCGTTTCCTAAAGAAACACAATTTGGCTATCGTTTAAGTCAACCCTCGCGGAATCCGCCATATGATTGGCGTTCTTGTTAGAGGTTTCGAATGCCAATCGCTAGTCAAGGTGCGACATTTGCAATGTTTCCTTGAGTTTTGTCAGAGCAAAGTACAAGGTCCACTGATGTATAACGTTTCTAATAAGGCGAACCGGAAGATCATTAGCGGATTCCAAAGTAAGGATCACTTATGGCGGTACAAGTTCTTCTTCGTGTCGATCTCTAATGCTTCAGTGGGCGAAGAATACATTAAGAGAGTCAGATCCGAATGGGGAATACTCGGTAGTCGATTCGTAGCGTATTCAGCTATAGTTTGGCCTTTATGTTACTTGTTACTATTATTCTTATTTTATTCTAACCACCCTTTTTCTTTTTTGCAGTTCGCCGATCTGCTCTACGGACACTGGGCGAATTTCCGCTTCACAAATTGCTCGCCGCGAAGAAGTGTAACTGACAAAAGGAAGAAGTGTAACTGACAAAAGGACTTCACCCTTCGACGAGTCAATCATGCCCGAGCTCTCCTTGCTAACCAGCCCGTCGATTCTTCGCCTTTGTTTAGCTTATCATAGGATTCTCTAAGTATGGCTCCACGACCAACCATTCGTGAGATTAGAGCCGAGAAGAAGAGAGCTGCCCGCAGCTACTGTTTCGAAGAGTCCAACCAAGCCGACCTCTGATGCTTCAGACAAATTGGTTTTAGCGACTGACCGTCCTACTAAGTCCGCTCTTGTTCTTCATGAAGACGAGCAACAAGACGAGCCAAAAAGGCGTTTATCCAAGGCTGACAAAGGTAAGGGACTCGCCGCGGAAGCTTCTAGCAAGAAACCGCATCGTGCTCTTCCTACTTTGAATGTAGGCGAGCCGATACTGCGAACCCTAGTTCTTTGTTCTACATCCGTCACTAAGGAGTTATACCATGATTCGTATGCTTTGACTTCTCTTCTCTCCAAAATGACCTATCTCTGTGAGTCTTTTCCCATTCCAGATACTTTGCTGAGGAGTGGTCTTTACAATGAGATGTCGTCCCGCTGCGCTAAGGTGACTCTTCAAATATCCTACTCCTTTTCTTCGTCCTGGATCCGTTTGTTTATATGCTAACTAGTCATCTATCCTTTGCAGTTCATTGCTCATCTTACCAGGATGACTCTCGCTTACGATTCAGACTTTCGAAGCGCTTGTGCCAAAGCTAACGTTGATCTAGAGCAAGCCGCGCAGAAGATTAAGGCATTGGAGGCTGATGTGGAGTTGCACAAGAATAATTATGAACTTGCGGGTAACCGCATTCATGAGTTGGAATCCGGTCGCGCCAAGACCGAGGCACAAATTGCTACGATGATAAGTCAATTAGACGCCCAGCAGCGTCATATTGAGCAAGCCATTTCAGAGGCGAAGGAAGAGTTTATGACTTCTTTTTAGGACAGGATGATAGGTGAGCCGAAGGAGAATATGCTTCATCTTGCGCAGGCCGAGATGAACTTGCAATTCGTCAAGTTTCTTCAAGGCACAAAGCCTCCAAGCATATAAGAAGAAGCCGCCGAGCTTACTGAAAAAGTGGAAGAACTTGCAGGTACCAAAGCTTCTATTCTTTTGTATTTGTTTATCCTTCGATACTTACTTACATGTGTTTCAACGAACCTGAAAATTTGCAGGTTCTTGTGAGGCATTTAATGAGCTTGTTGCTAACCTCAAGAATGAACAAAGTGCCTTCCTGTTAATGAAGAAGCCAATAGCGAGGAGCCATGAGATTCAAAAGATTCGACTTCATCGAGCGATAGTGACTCGACCGATAATGGTCCTTCGCAGCAGGCCAAACCACGCCGAACCAGTTGTTGAGGAGACTGTTGCGGGTGGTGCAATAGAGCAAGAGACAACTGTGACTTCTACCGAGCCAGCCATTGCTTCTGCTTCAGCTCAGGTTACCGCTCCGGTGGAAGAAGAGATTGACAACCATGTTATTTAGCTATTTTTGTTGCTACTTTTGCCTTGGCTTTTTGATTTTCTTATGACTTAGTGCCTGGATGGCGTTATCCGCTATTTACCCTTGTTGCTACGGTGGATGGCGTTGCGTGAGATTTAAAAGGATGATGATAAAATATGCAATAATTTATAATATATTGATTATTTGTGTGTTTAATATCATATAAATTTAGTGTATATAGTAAATAATTATCTAAGTTAGAAAACTAAGCATTCGCACCAAATTGTTCTACAATTACAATGTTATAGACAATAAAGAGAAAAGACTGTTATAACATAAGAAAACATTTTTTTTGACACAAATCCTTAACTTGTATGCGTTTATCAATATTCACTACGATTTCCTAAAAAAGAACGATTGTAAAAATCTATTGATCAGACATGTTATAGTATATTTTGTTTCGATAGAGACATCTGCATATTCTCAACACAAATGTTAGAATGCATATTTATGTTTATTTTGATTAGAATTTTGAATCATAAAGAGAGAATAATTGATGGTTGATTGTATTTGTCTCTCACTTTATTTGTCGATTTGTTGTGATATTTATCTTTCACATTGATTCATTAGTAAAATAATTCTTTTTTTCTAGATTTACGATTTGTGGTAGAGTAAGGTTTTCTTTCGAAAATCTTGGTTAGTAGCGTTATTTTGTCCAACACAACTTTTTTTTATTTGCATTAGGAAGTGATTGGTAAATTGACTTTGAAAGCTATGAAAACATTTAATAAAACGTTAAAAGTCTAAATTTTTCCAGTCAGACTTTAGTCCTAAAATCATTCTTTAAATATCTCATATCATCTTTCTTTTTTTCTTTTCATGTTATGCATTTTTATTAAAACTTATTTTCTGTGATTTTTTGTTTTAAAATCAGAGTTACCTATATAAAGCCAAAGTTTTAAGTTCTAAAAGTTTTTTTGTATAGTATAATGTTTAATTTGG